AGAAATATTAAACCCTTTTCACTAACACATCGAAGATATGTGAACAGAAAGTAATAACTTACTGAGAATCGCTGTTCATGGTGTTCGTTCAAGTAACGAGCCATGCACGTTATGTTTATTCAAAGCCAAAAGAAACATGGGCATTCTTTGTTTTACATAGCAAAGCGTGCCATTAAGGAATGGACTTGAAACCTAATATTGAATTAATTCGATTTAAGGAGTATTATGGGATGCCCAGAGGGTATGAGCACGATCCGTTGTACTCGCTTAGTATTAGAAATATGGTCTTTCAGACTTATACTATATATTTCTGCGGTAAAAGGCGATCATCATTACATCCAAACACGGCACAACGATCTTTTTTCCCATTACAATCTTATTCTAAGAAAACTTTAAGAAAAAATGTCCCAAAAGGCGCTCATAAAGACTAAACGGAATGTGCTCATGCCCCCTCCCCTGGGCATCCCATAATACTCCTTCAATATGGCTGCCGTATCGGTAAAAAGGTCTATTGGATGACAGAAAAATAACAATACATTCTGGGACTTCAGTTAGTTGTCCATCATAATTACCATGGAACGAAATCAACAACATGGATGGAAATCAATCAACAACAACCTACAGAGGTGATCTTTTGCACCCGCTGAAGAAATTCGTATGTTTCCTGAAAAGTCCGTGATATATTTTGGACTTGATGTCCATGTTTATTGCAAAGTGCGGCAATGGTATCGAAGAATTTGTTGGTAGATGAAAATAACAACAGCTTGTTTCAAAGAAATATGTTGTTGCATGTTACTTTGTAAGTTTCGAAGCGAAAAGCATTATTTGGTGAAACATTTTGCTTTCTTGAAAACGTTTGTTATCAATATTTAAATTTCGTGCTTCAAGTAACTTATCTATTGTTTTTTACGAGCTGCTGATTGGCCCACAACCAACTTTCTTGGAATGTATTGTTATTTTCCTGTAATCCGATTGGTCACCAGGTGGCCCCGGTTACAGTAGTCGCACTGCGAAATGTGGGCAGCAAAGAGTTGCAGTTAGATTTTAAAAACAACACACAGAAATGGCAGTTTTTGTTAACAGGATCCGGAAGTCATAGTGGCGCCATGTTCCCAACGCGCGCAAGACAAATCAAAATGCGTAAGGAATTCAAGGAGAATTAACTAATCTTGACAATTAACCAACTGTTGTGCTTTTTACTCATGTAACAATAACCGAACAAACTAAACTAAGTTATGAAGAGTAATAATTTAGTTATCAGGGAACTTAAGCAATTACGATGCAACAAAAACGGCAAAAGGTCTCTAATTAGGAAAACAACAATTCTGCACCTGCATCAAGCTTTGTGGTGCATCTCTTTACCGTTACTGCACGACAACCAAATGATATCTCCTGATGCAATAATTTGTAGAGGACAAAAACAGGCGACGACAATGTTTTCTCCTTTTTTCTATAGTTGTGCGTAGAGAACAAAATTCATTTCCCGGAAAATTCGCTTACAATCGACAAAGTAAAAGAGTTATGAAATAATGGAGATGAAGTTTGAAGGAACGTGAATTCTCTTCTGAAGTGACTTTTTCATTGCCGTCGCCGACATGTTGCTAACGCTACCAAATAAACTAAGTGTTCACACTAGTTAATTAAGGTGGCACGAACCTATTTATAAACGCGTTTTTCAGCAGTAACGATTTAATCGATATCTGTGATTTTTGGTACCTTGATAAAAAATGGTGGAACTTTAAGAAAATGTTATTTATTTTCTTGTAGATGTAAAAGAGTGTGAAATATCCAGTCAGCATTTATTAAAAATCGCGCTTTTACTAGTAAAAATGAAAGTAACTTCGAAATCATACGACAGATTTTTCCCTAACTTCATAAAATAAGCCTTCGAACTATCAAGTTTGACCTGATATCTGCAAGTTTGAAGTCAATCGTGAATTCACAACTCGCTGCACAAAATTCTGATGAAATTAAACCTTAAAATGCTACGCTAACACATTTGTGAAAGTTGACGCACAAATAGTTGAACAGTGCCGACGGACTATCACCGGGTATTCTTACCCAAAGCTTTATTGCAAGAAGAACAACTTTATACTGCAGGCAGGGTGAGATCAAGGTATAAATCGGTTCCGTCCACCTTAAAATGGTAGACAGACTTGAAAAATTACTTTTCTTATACAGTAAACTTTGCGACAAATTAACTACACCGTAAAGAAAAAAGAAAAAATATGGCGTTCAACTTTAAAAGTTGAACAGCTGAGCTAAACTCTGATAAAAATCATTAGGGACTTTGTTGGGTCTTAAAGTCCCTAGTAATAACTACAGTGAAGCTAAGAACTAGCCCAGAGCAATTTATCTTTCATGAATAAATGCGATTATAACAACTATGTGAACTATCATTCTTACGACAACAGCGTGTAAGCGTCTATCCAAAAATGACGGGTCCTTCAAACCGGACGAAGGCTAACGTAATGAAGCTCATGCACGTGACCCAGCACAAGCCGGTTGTTACCAGTATCATCATACTCTGGGCAAATCATTACGTCATTATGATGGGAAAGACTGCTGATTACGTGAATGCATGTTTCAAAGCAGTTTGCCGCACCATGGAGTATCACGTGATCACCCCATGTACCATTTGTCATCATGCTTGTAAGGTAAGCTTCCCAAGATGAATATCCATCAACAAATTGGAAAAGCTCTGTCCCATCTAGCTGCAAGACAAAAAATAAAGTGTAGTTATTAACTCTCTGCTTGTTTATGTAGTGCCATTAAAAATGTGACGTTTATTGGGGAAAGAATTACAACGCACACTCTAAAGTCGCATGTATAGTAGTACCATGCAATTCATTTACCACGCTGGATAAATGTGTCAAAGTAGTCGCTTGTTTCCTTATGTTCTTGTCACTAAAAAAATTAAAGCACATTTTTTTTTCAGGTGCCTCAACAGTTAGGCTCCGTTTACTGACGGGGCTGGACTAATTTTTGAAAAAACAAAACTTTACACGGATCGTCTTTTGTTTACACGGGAACCGAGGAACCGTGAAAGTTTTTGAACGGCAACGTGTGCAAGTTTTTGACCTGATCAGAAGAAAGTCAAAATTGATGACCGAACGGTTCCACTTTTACGCGGGCTCTTGTTAACCGTGCAAGTTTTTGCACAGTTTGCGGGGTAAAAACCTGGAGCCTAGTTATGCGCCTTTGGTAAGTGACGTAAGTCGATCTGCCGATTTGCGCCTTTGATTACAGAAAGAGCTCAATATAAGTCAGAAATGTTGTTGTTCCTGTTGTTTGCAGACTCCTCGCAGAAACGTTTCCTGAAAGTTTTTGTGATATTTTTCGATAAACTTTTTGTTGAGCTCATCCCACTTTGCTTTTACAGTCTCCCAGTCAACGCCTTCGCCTTCCTTTTCTGTTTTAAAGCCCACAAGGACGTGGAGTGGCAACTCTTCGTCCGTAAAAGTTAAATTTTTTACTGCTGCAGCCATTTTAGTATTAGTGAACTTACGCAACAGGACGGGAGAGCAAGGAAGACGGCAAACCTTGTGTGACATGCGTGTCTATAATTTTGTTTGAAAAAAAATTGCCTCAAACTTCATCTTCCTTTTAACAGATCTTTTTGTGAAAGACCTAAAAACATTGATATTTAGTGAAGATTACTACAACGAGTTTACGATTTAAGATTACGAGTTTACGCAACAGGACGGCAGAAAGAAGAGGACGACAAAACGCCTAAGTGTGACAAACGTGACGGGGCTATTACTTGCGTGTTTTGTTGGGAATTCGCTTAACATTAATGTTTCTTGCTCTTCCACAAAAAGATCTGTTCAAAGGAAAGTGAAGTTTGGCGGAAGCAAAGCAAAAGCAAAATTATTTTCACGCTTGTCACACATAGTTTGCTGTCGTCTTTCCTCTTCCGCCCTGTTGCGTAAGTTCACTAATATCGCAATCTGGACTCAGCGTAACATGATTGGTTCATTGTAACGCTGAGAAGATTCAAAAAAGCCATTCCAATGCTGAAACTGTGCAAAAATTTCCATGGACTCTTGCAAAAAGTACTGCAACCTGTAGCAGAATTCGTCCCAACCCGTGTAAACGAGGTCTTAGTTTTGATCTCCCTCGAGTCTCGATGTTTTCCACGATTTCGTCCTGGAGAACATGATGTCAGTAAAACGTCGACTCTGAGTCTATTTCTATTTTGTTTCCGGGAGGAATATTTTGTGTTCTTCACCAAATTATACATCTTATTCCAAAATGCGGGCTATATAACTGGTTTTTTGGTTATGTTAATTCGCTCTATTTTCGCCAAATTGTACCTTGAAACGAGGCATTGAGGGGTAAATATCATGAAGACAAGAAATAACTTAATTTGCCACCATTTGGTAATATAGTCTACTGACCTCTACTGGAGGTCATGGAGCACGGAAGCCCAGTCTGGAATGGAATCCTGCTGTACTCAGATGAACAGCAAGACCAATTCCAAACAGGAACCTTCAAATGCTGATTTTCGCAAATGACCGTCCAAAATCATGGAAAATTGGTGAGGCTGAGAGAAGATTCATTTTCCATTCTCATAAAACAGGGTGCAAAAGAAATCATTCAATATTGTGGGACACGCGCTCGAATCCTGTTTGGGGTCAAATTGTTTCTTTGTGCTACTCTTGTTTCATACAGCATATTAGTATCGTTCTAAAAGCCACAGAATTCTCTCAATTAGCTATGCGGATCAAACAAACAAAAGATTCTCACTAAGAATGCACGAGTACAATATTAGCTGAGAGAGTTGTTCAAAAAGCGTATACTTCTCCAGAACGAAAGAAGTGTTGCTGACGATGTTGTGACAAAACTTCAACACTTCATTTTCATCACAGCACCTGTACCTCATATCAATGTTGTAAGGGGGAGGGGGCAGTTAAAATAGTCACAACATCGGCTCACAATGTCATCGTGTTGATGTAAGTTTTGAAATACCGTTAAGAAAGCTAAGTTAGTGCTACGATTTAACTTACCAGCGTAGGGTGGTCCATAAGATAACGGACCACAGTTTGACGTATCTCTTCATGAGACAGCCTCATTGCTTTTACGACAGCAAGCTGCTCTGAAAGAGCAAAAAACATGCAGTTTCCCTCTCCTTGATTGTCAGAAATCACAAAGCCTTTCTCTTGAGCAGTCTTCTTTAAATTCAGTGACAGTTCAGTTTGGCTGGTCTCTCTACGTGCGTCTAACTGGATTTGCTGAAGTGCGCGGAATGTCAAGTCACCTGTAAATAGCAATAGTACAAAATTATTCGCTGTGAAGAGGTGTGGTGCTTACAAATACCACAGGGTGTCAATCGGGTTTCAAGCCACCCTATCACGTCTCTGATCCAACAACAATATCATGAAGGATCATTTCCTTTCAATTACTTTGGTGTTAAGTAAGAATCAGGGTAAAAATGATGTCACTCTTCTACCTAAATAGACAGTAAAAATGACGTCACTCTTCTATAAAAATAAACTTGACATTGGAGTAACGCGTGTACTGTTCACAAAGGTAACGAATTACAGTCGAGACCCACTTTACGGACACCTCATCATTATGGGCGGTATCCTCTGTCCCTAGGGAAAGCCCTAACATTGTCTCTTAATTTCGATAATAACGGACACTTTTTACTAGTTTAACCAACGAATTTTTACAGCCGAAGTTAATTTCACTAATACGAACCTATTCTCCCAACTGTGTGGTGCAATAGGCTTTAGATTTGTAAAGGAAACGCTCCTTAAGTTAACAGCATGCCAATGTTCCAGGCACTACATAGACGAGGCAACACAAAGTCTTGACGTCGATTAAATACCAACTATTTTTGCAACAAATGAGTTTCCCGAGTTATGAATAGATGTATAATGTAATCTCTATATCTTAACGTTCTCATGGGCAAAATCCACAGAATAATAAGTATTTGTATATTAGATCACTTCAGTTTGATGATGCCTTGATGAAAGTGTAACTGTAAGTTGCCTAACCCATGAGGAACGCAAGCTCAGTGGTGACTTGTCTTGATATCGGTTGCCTAAGGTGAATCGAGATATTTCTTCTGCTTTTTTCTGATGTAACAGCAGGAGACCTCCCAAGTCGTACACCCACACAGGAGTAATGTGACGATGGTAACGTCGTAGAACGTCAATTTATTGGACAAGTGCCTGGCCTACCAGCCGACCACCATGTACCTTGAGATGATATTTTAAGTGAGGTGGTGTGTTGCCATTTGGTACCGGCCAGTCAGTCCAAACATAAAAGCGCGTGAATTTGCACACCACACAGTTTAATTATTAATTAAAATTTATTAGTTAATTTAAGATAAGTTTGATTACTTACCATAAACCATCTTCCACATCTTTTCAACAAGCAGCTGGCACTGTCTTTTCCAACTGAACTTCTCTTCATAAACTTCTCGCACTCTTCGAATTTCCTCAAGCCGCTGTATCCTAGGTTTTTGACGGATAGCATCAATTGCCTTTGCCCATTCCTTGGGGTCATCAGAATCGATCACAACTGACTTGCCCTCAGTAAGACCACGCAGTGTTTCTCCAAATCCGGAGTTTCCACTAACCAGAATGGGAAGACCAGCTGACATCGCTTCCAGTGCTGTCAACCCAAATCCTTCAGTTCTTGAAGGCATGATGGCCACATCGACTTCGCAAAACAACTCTTTCAATCTTTCCTTGCTTTGTACAAATGATCTGACAGTCAGCTGGTTCTTTGAAATGCCAGTCTGAAGTAAGATTTCTGCCACTTCATCCTGCTTTCCATCAGGTGCACCAACAAACAGCAGACGGTAAGAACTATCCTGCAGCTCAACAATGGCTTTAGCAGCAATGTCATATCCTTTGACACTGAAGTCCTCATAATCCCCACGGCCAAAGGTTAACACTTTGAAATTCACACTATCTTGTGTAGCAGGTTTAGTATCTGAAAACTCTGCAAAGGAACCTGGTATTAATTGAAAGACATCTCGATGAGATGAACGCAGTTTGGACGAGAACGCTTCCCTCAGCTTGGGTCCAACTGTCACAACGAGATCTGCAATTTGGCACAATTCAACTTCAGCTCTGTTCTTTCCTTCCCCTTTGGCAATTGCGTTAGCATAGTTCTTATGCATTGCCAGCTCTTCAGGTTCAGTGTGCACAACCTGCATCCACTTGCAACAATGAGACTCTCGGATAAATTGCGCTTGTCTACCGACCTTTGCACCATGACCAATCACAACTTGAATGTCAAGGTCTTTTGGTGGAAAGCTCAACCAGTCAAGAGGATCACTGACGGCAGGGCGACGCTGCACTTCCTTAATGGCAATGTTGTAACTTCTGGCAGTTCTCTTGTCTTCTTCGTCACACTCAAATTCAGGTACAAGAATTGTAACTTCTACGTTTGCGTGTTTTGCCAGATGTATGGCAAGTGTTCTGTTTATTGTTGACAACCCACCCTTAGATGACCCCCATTCATTGGCCAGAAGAGCAACTTTCAAGACTGAACGCCCTGGGTGTGCAGTATCAGGTGATGGAGTATGCACTTCCTGTAAGGGAAACAAAACGCGCATTTTAGAATTGACTATTTTTACATAGACGATAATGCATCCTGTTTACCCCCCACCCCCCGGTCCCCCGCAAAAACTTTGCATAACCATTGTGTCCAATTTCCGTCGCCTAAAGGCTCGGGAAATTATAAGGATTTGGACAAAACGCGCATGAAATTATTCCCCAATTTCACTCGTCACCATTTGATTACACATACTTATTCGTCAGAGCCAAATGTTAAGAGCTTCTAGTATCAGCATTTTAGTCATTATATGGTACCAATCAGGCGCACCCAACGAGAATATGGTTCCAAACCACTCAAACATATAGCACTGTTAAACGTATTTTAGTATTTAAACGGTAGATATAGGCATATTTTTATCCCCAAAAAATTTTTCATCCGTTCGGATTTCCTAGCTGAAATTCTGGTGATCCGAAAATTATAGGGATCAAAACTTACCTTTTCGAAAATTTCAGCCAGAAAAAAGGCTTCCGAAAATTCTAGGTGACATTTTTAGGGTAAAAATCCGTTAAAATGGGCAATTATACCATTTTTTAGATGTTCGAAAATCCTAGTAGAGGCAGGCAAGCAACAAATTTTACAACAAATGTTTCGAAAATTCTAGATCTCAAATCGTCTTCCGAACAGATATTTTCCGAAAATTGACGTTGGGTACCCCTAGCCAATTGAACTTATGAACTCACTTAATTTTACTTTATTTCTTCTAGTCATTTCCTCTCTCCTGTTTTTCCTACGGAGATTCATGTGCTAGGCCATATAAGAGGTATACACTATGCTTCATCCTATAATCTTATAACTTACATGAAAAGATTATGTTGGAACTTAAAAAATTGATAGACGACTACACATTTAATAACATAATACTTGAGGGTATCTAACGTCCCCTATAGTATGATTCTCTTTTAGTTTATAAAAATGAAGCGCTAACCTAACAGCATTATTTACTAGAGACTGAATATTATTACCACCTACCTCACTTGGCACCTGTGAGAACCACTTTTCCTGTCCTCTAACCGTAAGTAACCCCTCTGAAGGTTTCTTTTTGCAAATCAGTGGGTCACTTTGTTTTAACTCCAGGAGGTGAAGACAGTCGTCATGAGTACAACCCATCTGATTATGGCCTGAGCACTTTTCCAGCTGACAGTATGGGCAGGCCACCCGGATCTCGTACTGCACTCCACGCAAATACAGAAGATCATGTGAGAACGTTTGTAGAGTTGCCTCCACAAACTCGCGCACCTGCACCGCTACCTCACTTGTGTCCTCCACTGAAATCTTCTGACGTTGGGATTTTTGCTTGACGAAAAACTTTATGAACTGCTTCTTACAAATAAGAACTAAATCATGGACAATTTTCCTCCCAATGACGAACCATGCTCCATTTTGATATAGGGTAGGGGGCTGAGGTGGACCAGCCTCAGAACACCACCTGACAAGGCGAGAAACAAGCCGTATGAACAGGCCATGAGGGACAGAACCAGTAACAAAGTAAACATAAAGAGGACAAGGGTCTGAGCTTGAGGGTACCATGGCACAAATGGGATCAGGTGGCATTCTGAGCTGGCATGGCACAAAATACTTTTCATCAGTTTTACAAGGCGAAAACTTTGCAATCAAACCAAATTGTTCCATGAGGTCCAGAATGTCATCCTTTGCAGCGCCCTTCAGAAGAAACTTAGAAAACACATGGTGAAGCAGTTCCATGCTGAGGACACCACTTTCTTTAACTTCCTGCCAGAGGTTGGAAAACTTGGGTTCCTGAGTAATAAAATGTAGAGTGATTATAAGGTTTTTTTAGGTGATGTCTTTATTTTTCTTGACCTCTCAAAAGGAGTTGACGCCGTAGATTACGCCATTATTTTTGATAAACTCGAACATCCACGGTATTCGTGGTTTAGCACTGGACTGAATAAGAAGTTGTTTTGCAAGTTGAATGCAATATACTGAATTAAATGGCCATCGTTACCAATATAATCATGTTACATAACAATTTTTCTTAAAACAATATCAATACCAATGTTGTAACAATACTAGAAATTCCTAGACAGACTCGAACACTAAACACTAAGAAATTTCCTTTTTTAAGATCCCAAGGTTTTTTAGTTGTCTTGACAACGAAGTTATTAACTCTCGATCCCTTTCTTCCTTTAAGAACATTGTAAAGCTTACATTAGTTTTTGAACTTTAGACTGTACGCCATCTTTTGCTTGAATTGATGTAAGCAACTAAAGCCAGTAGTTCGAGGAGGCCTAATCTCGAACAGGTCTCCTCCTCGCCAGTTCCCTTTTGCTACTTATCTTACATTTTTGTTGTTGTATTTTTACTATTGTGTGTCAAATAAATAAATAAATAAAAAGAGCTAGAAGAGAATGCTGCTGAAATGGCTTGAAAACACTTACCGAACGTATTTCGGACCTTACCGTTT